ATGAGCTCGAAACTAGAGATCAATATTAGCTAGGAATGCCCAGCGAAGTGTAGCAACTAGCGGCCTGACTGTACCACGGGGTAGGTATCACAATCCTCTGGCGCTGGAGTCCTGTGAGATGATTGCTTTTGAGGTCATCTGCTGATGAGCAGATCAGCCACAGCTGCCAGCGTGAGAGTCCTTCCCCCATCGGCTCTGCCCAGCCTACAGAGAAATAACCCGCCCACCAAAACACAAAAGCAGGAAAAACCCCAAAACACAGTGAACACAGTCTGTGACCCTCACAGAAGGCAACGTAGAAGTAACTTAAACCTGCGTCTTCCTAACAGCCAGCAGGGGGTGACTCCTCTGGCTGCAAAAATAAGATTGTATAAAAGTCTATGACAAACTGACCCTACTTCTCAATTATCCATCCACCCACCCACCCATCCATCCATCCATCCATCCATCCATTTTCTTCCGTTTATCCGGGGTCGGGTCGTGGAGGCAGCAGGCAGAGCAGGTCATTCCAGAGATCCCTCCCCCCAGTGACACTTTCCAGCTCTTCCTGGGGGATCCCGAGGCATTCCCAGGCCAGCCGAGAAATAAAATCTCTTCAGCGGGTCCTGGGTCTGCCCCAGGGTCTCCTCCCAGGTGGACGTGTTCGGAAAACCTCCAGAGGAAGCCTCTCTGGAGGCATCTGTATCCGATGTCCATACCACCTCAACTGACTCCTTTCAATGCGAAGGAGCAGCGGTTCTACTCTGAGCTCCCTCCGGATGTCTGAGCTTCTCACCCTATCTCTAAGGATGAGTGAGTCCAGCAACCCTGTGGAGGAAGCTCGTTTCGGCTGCTTGTATCCACAATCCCGTTCTTTCAGTCACGACCCAGAGCTCATGAGCATAGGTGAGGGTTGGGATGTAGATGGACTGGTAAATCGAGAGCTTTGCCTTGCGGCTCAGCTCCCTTTTCCTCGCTCCGGTAAAACTCATTCGTGAACAAGATACGTAAGTATCTCCCTTTCCGACTCTCAGGTCGTTATAGGGACCGGTCCTTACAGGGACCAGATCCAGTATCCTAGCATGTTCCCCGGCCACTCCTTCCATGTTGACACAGCTTCCAGCCGAGGGGTTCTGGACCACATAATCAAAGCCATGGGCCTCAAAGGTATCTGCTTCTCCTCTGCTCCAACCCTCAAGACCCACGTTATGTCCACTCTTTGTTTCATTCTTATGGGATGCTTTTTGGGGGGTCCGCCAGGCCGGGAGCCACTGCTGATCCCTGACTAAGCATTTCCCCACATCAGCTCATTTACGTCATCACCAACATAACGTTCATTCACATCCAACAAACAATCAAGCTTCAGTTTATTTGTGTGATTCTATCTGGTGAAATGGAACTGAAATCTTTACCTGAGGTTCAGGACCACAAACATACCTCAACCACTCCCCTTCCTGTCATACCTTTGTACATACCACGCTGCCTTTCCTACTTGTTCGTTCTCATTTCTCATGCCCCACCTACCCGCCGTCCCTTTACTTCTGCCTCCACTTCCTGTCTTCTCCTTTTTCTAGGGGTTCCTGCTGAATTTAAATATTTTTGCATAATTTACAACATGGCAATTGTCAGCAGAGCAGCCAGCTTTTTTTCAGAATGCCTATTTTATTGAGATGGTTGCGCAAATATGATACTTGTAGAAAAACAAATGGTTTTCTCTATGAAGAAAACGTCTAGGCTGTAGGTTTTTCACTGCAGAAACTTGTGGGTCATTTTAGGCCAGCCCAAATCTTTGTGAGTGTTTTTGTAATGAGAAGCCCCTCTAGCAGAAGTTATAAAAGTTCAACTTTAAAACATTTCAAATAAAATAAAAAAAACTTTTCCAATAGATTGTTCTGGATTTCTTTTATAACCTCTGAAGGTTAGAAAAAGTTTTTCCTATGAAGTGGGTGGATTGTGTAGGACTTGGAGAAATCTCTAGGAATCCTAAAGGATTCTATGTGAGGAGGCAAAAACCTGACAAGCCGTTCTGACTGGGGATGTGTGACTGCAGGGCTTGAGCATATTTGCATTGTTGCGTTGCTGCTTTTACTTACAAAACCATGTAAATGTTGCACATCTGCCTCTGTGACCACACGTGACCATATGTTTGTAGTAAATGTTATAATACGGTGTAACAGTGGCACTCACTGTTGGTCATACCATGTGAGTTAGTGA